TAAAAGGTTTTAGAAAATTTAAAAGTTTTGATTCTTTGTGTTTTTTTAACTCCCACTTATTTTTTCTCCCTTGTTCATTTTATATAGATTTGAGTTTCAGACTGATACGTTTTCATTCTTGTAAGGCCTTGCAGTGTTAAGAGAAGTTCTCTAGAGAAGGAACTGGCAACAAATTCTGTCAATTTCTGTTTGTCTGAGAAAGTCTTATTTCTCCTTCACTTTTAATGTTACAGAGTACAGAATTCTAGCTAGGTTGGTGGGTTTTTTTCTTCTCTATTTTAGACTTTCATTCTACTTACTTTCTTGCATGGTTCCTTTTTTATTCTTGTTTTTTTAAGTTTATTAATTTATTTTGAGAGAGAGCTGGTGTGGGGAACAGAGAGAGGAGACAGAGAATCCCAAGCAGACTCTGTACTGTCACTGCAGAGCCCAATGTAGAGTTCAATCTCACAAACCTCAGAGCCCCACACTGGGCTCAGTCTCTCAAACTGTGAGATCATGACCCAAGCTGAAACCAGGAATCAGATGCTTAACCAACTGAGCCACCCAGGTGCCCCCTGCGTGGTTTCTTAAGATAAGTTTGATGTAATTTGTTCCTCTATACATAATGTGGCTTTTTCCCTTTGACTTCCATATTTAGTTTTCGTATTTTGAAAATCTCATGCCTTAGGTGTGATTTTTTTTTTTTTTTTTTTTTTTGGTGTTTTTCCTGCTCAGTGATCTCTTTTACCTTCCCAAATCTGTGGTTTGGTGTCTGACATTAATTTGAGGGAAATTCTCAGTCATTATTATTTCAAATATTTTTTCCTGTCTTTTCCTTCTGGAATTCCAATTACACATATCGTACACCTTTTGTAGTTGTCCCACAGTTCTTGGGTATTGTATTGTGTCCCTGCTCAGTGATTTTTCTCTTTACTTTTCACTTTTGGCAGTTTCTGCTGAGATATCGTCACACTCAGAGATTCTTTCTTCATCTGTGTCCAGTCTGCTGATGAGCCCATGAAAGGCATTCTTCCTTTCTTTTTTTTTTTTTTTTTTTTTT